ATTGCATTAAATCTGTATAATGCTTTTGGTAGTATGGCCATTTTGACAATATTAATTCTGCTTATCCAGGAGCATGGGAGATCTTTCCATCTTCTGAGGTTTTCTTCAATTTCTTTCTTTAGTGTTCTGTAGTTTTCATTGTAGAGGTCTTTCACTTCTTTTGTTAGATTGATTCCCAGGTTGTTTTTTGAGGCTGTTGTGAATGGAATAGTTTTCCTAATTTCTCTTTCAGTGGATTTATCTATTAAGTCTTTTAAGAAGGCAGTAGCAAAGGAGTTTTTGAGGAAAGCAATCCAAGGAAAAATAACAATACCTCTCAGCACACAGGATCAGCTTGGTGAATTCAAAATTTTGCACATTTCACACTGTGATTGAGGCCTGCCCAATGGTGGCAAAGAGGGTGACTGATACTGGTTTCATGTTTGTAAGAGAAAAATTCTTAGAACCCTTTTTTAATGCAGGGAGCCACCCGTGAATTGCTTGAGGGTCTTCTCTTGGTATGGAGCCTCGGAGGTTTAATTTATCCTTGGGAACTATCCAAGGCTCCCCAATGCGCATTGGGTTGCCCAAGGCACAGGACCTCTATCTCCACTTTACTACAAGACCCCTCTTGTAGCTCTGGTTTTGGGCTTAACCCTCTGGGAACTGGACAGCCCACTTCCTACTTTATTTGGCAAAGAACATTCTACGGAAAACCTATGATGTTCCCCGATATAAGTAAAGCAAGCACGGGCTCCATTTTGTCTTTTCAGTGTGGAAGCCCGATCTCTAAGATCAGCCGCCTGTCCTGCCCCCCATTTTAAAATTACTTCCTGTGTTCTGTGGTTTTTCCTCCTGCTCTATTTTTCTTAGTCTTTATTTCACAGCCATCCCACTCCACTGAGAGAAACCTATTTCTACCGCTTACATGGGATGTGGGTGGGATGTTAGTATCTGTTTAATTCATGAATTTTGTACTTATGATGAGAGGATCAGCAGAAAGACAAGGTAATTGGTTCCAAGAATATTAAAACTAAGAGATTTACATACTCAGTTGGAAAAGGAAAGTCAAAGTTGGAAAAGGAAAGTCAAAGCCGGATTGCTACTTTGGAAACTGAATGGGTTAGACTTGCAAACTGGATGGGTTGGTCTTGCATGGCCACCAGACTGTACTCATGTAGGGTCATCTTCTCAACCAGGCAGAAGACATGGCCCTACTCTAACATTTGTGCCAAGTTCACTGGCTGTGAAAGGGCTGAGTCCCAATTGGTTCTACAGAGTTAATTCAACCGAATTGGATTCCTGGGAGAGTCAAAAGACAGTTGAGGGGAATTGCTTAGGAAATGCATGATTTTTGTTGGTTTGTTTTAAAGCCACACTGTCATCATTTTGCCTGTTTCCAGGTTTTGGATATCTTCGTATTTTCCCTGCATGTCAGTGAGAAAAGTGAGGTCTGGAGAAGTGCCTCTATCTCCAAGCTTCCATTTTATCATCTGAAAAATGGAGTAATCACAGAACCTACCTTCCCAGTGTGGCTGATGAATTACCAGCTGCCCATGCACACAGACTCACATAGGAGGTCCCCAAAGGTATCTTTCACAGACCCTCTGATAGACATGCAGCCACATACAATGTCCCCCAGAACTCCCACAAAACAGGCACATAGAGGCACACATGGGACACCCCAAAGGTCATCCCTTCTCACAGGCATGCCCACTCTGGCAATCTATAGCTTGAGCATCAAGTGTTGGCAAGGAGTGTGTCTTGAGTGCTTCAAAGGAGTCCCTCCTATCAGAAAGCTGGTGATGTGGTATAGGACCTTTACTGAGTGTCCCAGGGATGCTGTCATGTAAGTCTGACCCATCCTGGCACTCCCAGGAGCTGGCTATGTGTAGAAGATGACCCTGGAGCCCCCAGAACACACTTATACAGAGAGGAGAAGACAGGACCTGGATCACCTGCTTTGCTCATAAGGGCTGATCCAGACCATGCATTGTGAGACCCAGAAGGGCTCCAGGTCATGGGGTTCAAGCTGAGGCCCAGGGATGGTGGCACATCCCCTGGTCACATGGCAAAGCAGCAATTCATGTTATCTCTTAACCTGGTCATGGGAGAGGTCGGATGGTTAGAGCTCACTGCAACTTTCTCAGCTCATGAGCAGCCTCTTCAGATCACGGATGAGGTGGTCAGGGTAGGGGAACAGTGTGTCCTGTAGCCTGGCTTTCTGCAGGGCCCACAGGTTCTCTGCTGTGGTAGGACTGAGGCAGGGACTCCAAGAAGATGGAGAATTACTAGTGACAGAATCCGATGTCTCAGATCTACCACCAATGTCCACGTGAGCCTCTCTGAGCCTCAGGTTCCTTGGTCAACACAGGGTGAGGGCTGCTTCCAGAACTCTGGAAGACCTTCCCTGACTTGATAGTCCCTGACGTTTCTCTCCCTCTGTATGTTTGTTTCTGCCCAGGGAAGATACATCTGTTTAGACCCTAAGCTTGGGGAAGGTGAAGAAAGCAGTCAGATTCCTGCAGCCTCATGAAGTCACATGGTCTGAATACCCAGGAATCCTAATATCCTGTCTTGGCAGTCACTATCCCCAGCTGAACTGCTGGAGTCCAGCCAAGGCCTATGAGGACAACAAGGAGCCTCAGAACCAGATACACCTGTCCTACACTAAAGCATTTGTTTTTTCAACTAAAGCCTGTGCCCCCACAGGCTGGGATTAAAGTTTTTCTCCTTCAGTCCATATCAGTGTGTCTGTTCCTGCAGCTCAGGGCACTTTCTACCCTTTGACCTTGGCCTGCCCTTTCCTGGTCAGAAAGGGAAATGGAAGCTCAAAGGAAAACATGGCTCCTGAAGGGCACCAGTGAGTGAGCAGGGGAGAGCCTGGAGAGAGGCCCATAAGGGTCAGGGCTGGGAGGATCCATGTGGCAGGAGCAGGGCTCCAATGTCATCACACTGCTCCCTGCCCGTTGTTGGTGGCCCTCTCTGCAGTGGGGCTCAGGGTTCTGAGAAGAAGGTTCTAGATTGCCTCCTGTCCTCTCTGAAGTCTCCACTCCCTCCAGACCCCTTCTCCACTTTTGTTTGTTATTCTCTGGCCTGACCAGGAACCAAGGACATCCGTCCCCTTCACCCATTCCATTCCATTTCAGAATGTTTACCAGCCGCTTCCACAGCCAGCCCAGGCCAAGAGCCGGCCAACTGCACATGAGCGGCCTGGGCCTGCTCCAGAGGGAGCTAGTGCCCCAGCCCAGGGGCAGGCAGGGTTCTGGCGCCCCTTCCTCCACTAGGCCGCACACATGCTCCACATAAGTTGGTCCTCGCCACATCCAGCACCTTCCACGGCTCCCAGGCTTCCGCCCAGCGTCGCAGCCAGCTCGAGGGTCCCGGGTCCGCTGCCTGCTCTTCGCCTCTGGGGCCTGCACCGCCCGCTCCGGATTCATCTCCCGCTGCCCACGCCAGTCCCCGAGTGGCTGCCATGTTCCCGAGGTGTGGCACCCACCCCCTACCGGCCACCGAAATCCCACCCACCCTCAGGCCAAGCCCAGCCTCCAGGAAGAGTTCCCGATTGCATGGCGCGCTGAACCTGCCTCCTCCGGCTGCCACCCAGCCGCCTCCAGCAGGGTGGCAGAAAGTCGCCAGCCCGAGGCCGCCAGGTCCCCTGGGCCACGGTAAGGGGCTGTTTTGCCCTCGCCCCCCGCGTATCTGCCACTCCCAGCGCTCCGCTGGCCCGGAGCCCGAGGCCACGTGCTGCCAGGAAGGGCCGCCGAGGGGCCGCTCCTGGCTGGGGACCTCGGCGGAGGCGGCTGGCCTCCTAGTGGAAGTGGGCGGAGACGGGCCCGTGTCGGGGAGCCCGAGCCCCGCTCAGGAAGCCATTAGGTTCCCTTCCCCACCCGCCCTCGGCTTGCCCTCGCGGCGGCGCAAGCCACGGGCCCAGCGGGTGAGAGGAGGGTCACCAGCCGCAGGCCTCCAGGTCCCTCGGCCAGGCGAAGGCCGGCCCGTGGGCCTGTTTCGAGGGTGGCCCTTCAGCCCCTGCCCCGGCCCAGGCCCCCCAGGGACTGAGCTTTCCGTGGAAGGATCTCCTGGGGCGCGCCCTGGGCGGGAGGCGAGGCCTGGAGGATCCCCAGCCCGGGCCCCTGCAGCTGCAGACCAATCACCCTTGTGACTGGCCCAGACACTGCGACCCTTCCTAAAAGTAGTGGACCCCCCCCCACACACACACCCTACATAAATAGAGCTGCCCCTGTGGAGGGGGAAGGGATGTTGTTGATGGAGGCCAGAAGAGAGGCCTGGGCAGTGCCTAAAGATCCCTCAGGAAGTAAGAGGTAATCTGGACGGAAATCAGTGCAGGGCTCAGAACTCAAGTGTTCTAAGAAATCAGTGCAGGGTGGGCAGAACAATGCACCCTGCTGGACCCGAGAACACCACGGTGATCTCGTGGAAAAGGAACTTGGTTAGGCATGGTGAGCTGGGAGGCTCCCCTTGACAGCGAAGGACCAGGTGAACAAGGAGGAGCGGCTTCCTCCCTTCCATCTGGAAGGCTCTTCTCCACACTGAACTGGGCTCAAAAGCCACCTGCCCCTGGCTGGCCTCCCTGGTTTCTTTGGTCAGCATTGGATTCCCCGCTCACCACATCCTGTCCCCTGGGAGCTGCTGGTGTTCCAACCTAGTAGACAAAAGGCTTAGTGGGCCAGATAGTCCCAGACCTTGTTCACACTACCCAATTGAATGGGTGATGACTATGAATCAGAAAAGGAAGAGGAGTTTGTGCCTGAGGATATATGGCTTCTATATTTTCATTGGCAGGCATCCAGCTGAATCCCACTGGACAGTGCACAGAAAGAGACATTCCCAGGGTTGGGGAGGCTACTTGTGAACACCACCACCCAATGAACCCTGCTAGGAACTCAGCCTTACAGGTGGAAGGAGAGTTGGCCTGTTCTCCATTTGCTCACTAGAGGGCACCCAGCCCCCAAATAAAGATCTGGAGGCAGATGTCTGCAGTTTTATCCAGATGACCCACACTGGCCCGGGTGTTGGCCCATCTGGGGTTGAGGTTCCTCTGCCCATTTGACTAGAACCGTCAAGAGCTTCTGGAAGAGGCACCTGCAGCTGTCTGGCTCTTCTAGGGGAGCCAAGGTGAGAAAAGCACAGGCAAAACTGCCTGGAGTTTGCAGGGTGAAGAGGGAAAATGCTGTTGGGATTTGCAGTTCCTCTAACTCATGACCCCGTCTTTGGTTTTACTTATTTTTTTTTTTCTCGTGGCAAAATACATATAACATGGAATTTACCACTTTAACTCCTTTTATGTGTACCATTTGGTGACTTGGGTACATTCACAGTGTTTAACACTCATCACTACCATCTAGTTTCAAAACTTTTCGTTGCCCCAAAAGGAGCTCCATACCTAGTAAGCAAGCACTTGTGCCTCAGTCCCCTGGTCCATGTCCTCCAGCCACTGCTAACCTGCTTTCTGATATTATGGATTGATGTTTTCTAGATATTTCATATGAAAAGAATCAAACAATATATGGACTTTCATGTGTGGCGTCTTTTATTTAGCCTAATGAAAATCATTCCAACATTCCACCTCCCTGAGAAAGGCCCAGGCTCTGTTCTGGGCCTTCTATTTTCCCTAAAACCCCTTCTAGATATTACCAAGGTCCTAAATTTCATAGACAAAAATAGGAAAGGTAAATATGTAGCTTTTTGAAAAGCATGAAGGTGCATATATCTTCATGATATTGGGGTCAGCAAGCATTTTCCAAACAAGACTCAAAAAGAATTAGCCTTGCTAGGAGTGATGGTGCCCACCTATAATACCAGAAGCTTGGAGGCTGAGGCAGGAGGACTACAAGTTTGAGGCCAGCCTGGACAAGTTAGTGAGACCCTATCTTAAATTTGAAAAAAAAGAAAGAAAAAGAAAAAAAGGTCGGGGAAGAAACTTAGAGGTAGACTGTTCCTGGGTTCAGTCCCCATCACTGAAAAACAAAACAACAACCAACCAACCAACCAACAACAACAAAAAATTAATATTAAAAGAAAATGTAAACGAGACAACTAAATGTGGGAACCTTCTGTTTATCTAAAGTCACCATTAAGAGATTTAAAAGGTAGCCACAGATTGCTTAAAGACATTGGTCTCTCACATATCTAACAAAGGATGATGCATATCTACAATATATAAAGAACTCCTATGATCCAGTCAGTTTTTCTCAAACATATTTTTGGGATACAGTGTCACCTTCATGGGAGGCAAGTACTCTACCCCTGAGCTATAGCCTTAGTCCCTCAAAAACATTTTAAAAAGTCGTAGAGATATGGATTTGCATTGTAGCTCTTCTGCCTGTTTGGGATCTTGGATGAGTATATGTGAGGTTCTGACTCCCCAAATTAATTCTCATATTTCCAGATTAGGAATAAAATCCAAGCTCTACTTCTTTGTTGTGTTTCCTGTGAGAATAAATAAATGGTTCATGAGTCAGGATGTGGATTTATGTGTATATCAAGGTCTCCTCCACCCTCCTTTTAAATTGGATGATTTAGGCCTGGCCGGGCCTGATCTGTGGTCCCCGGCTGCTGGCAAAGCCCAGGTGTGGAAATGCTCCCTTACGTCCCCTGGGGGTCAGGTAAGGCAGAAACAGGGAAGAGGGTGGGGGGGATGGAGAGAGACCAACATTGCATGCCAAGCGAGGGAGTCTAGAGTTATCTTAAAGACAATAGGTGGCTACGAAAGTTTTGAGGGAAAGGGGGATGTGAGGAGGAGGGGAGAGACAGAGAGCTCTGGAGAGCCGAGGTCAGGGGTGGTAAAAGATTTCCAAGAAGCAGCCATATTAGGACTTCTGCTTCAAAGGAAGGAAGCCAATGAGTGAGAAAGAAATCAGAGTAGAGGGTAGTTTTGGTGTAGATGGTGGACAGGAAGCAGATGAGGGGAGCTGGGCAGGACAGGTGTCCAGCTTCGCCCCTTCATTCAACTTGACGGAAACACAAAGTCTGGGCTCCACCCAGACCTGAATGAGAGTTTGTAGGGGCGGGCGGAGCACTGGCTCTGAACCAGGCCTCCAGGGATTTTGATGCTCATATTGAAGAACCACTGCAGAGGTGCAGGGTTTCCCTGGTCCTCACTTTGAGAGACTCTGGTAAAAAGGCAGCAAGCACAGAGCCATCCTGGTCAGGCAGAGCAGGTAGAAGAAAAGGGAAAGCTCCTCCTCCCTCTCCTGATTGCCCTGTGGGCTTCAGCCCAAGGTCAGCCTTCGGAGCGGAGGGAGGGATTCCTCTAGAGATAAGAGTTGGCACCCAACTGGCCTTTGCTCAAACACTAGTTCTTGAAGGGCAGCTGGAACCCAGTTCAAAGGCTTATGCCCCCAAGTTTATCCTCCCATCTTCTTCCTGCCATGAACTTTCTTGGGGGGAAGTCCCTGTCTTTCCCCCACCCAAAGACACGAGTGTTAATTGGGAATATGGGCCTAGTAATTGACCACTCATGCAGAGGCCCCACAGCTGACCCGAGTTCTGACCCAGGGCTTCCTTATCTGTTAGGCTGAGGTTTACAAATAGCAGCCCTGGGCAGTGCCTGAGTCTGGAGGGGAGGGTCTGGGGATGGGGGAGGGCCTGGCTGGGTCTGCATTCTGCTGACTTCGTACCTCCTAGGGTTTGCCCTGCCTTCTGAGGTGAGCTTCCTGAGGTGGGGGATGTGTGGGTGCTTCTCTGGCTGGCAGGGTGAGCTCCCCAGTGAGATTGATCCTTTCTTCTGCTCTTTTCAGAAAACCTGGCCTTAATTCATAGGATGAAATTCAGGTTAATTTGAAGTCAGAAGTGCTGGTTAAACAGCTTCACTGTCTTTAAGCTCTACCCAGTTTCCCAAAGGGGGCCTGGACAGGAGGTCTGGCGCTCTAGTCGGGGTGTGCCCGTGCTCCGTGCTACCTCAGCCCTGGTGTCTGGTGTTAAAGGAAGCCTGCCACATCTCTGGGAGGATGTGTTAGATTAACTGAACAACTACTTGAGAATCATGGGGATTACCATTGGGGGGGGGCGGGGAGAAAAATGGCCATTAGCTGAGAAAGAGGCTTTAACTCCCACAATTTTTAAATTTAGGCTGAAGTAGCTGCAAACATGCAAAATTTCTACCAAGCTACATGGTAACTAATTTCCCTCCCATTCTTCTTTCCAGTTTACCAACTTCCATCCCTCAAAGGCAGCCACTCTTCCTGATTTTTTGTGTGCATACAAACATATATAAGGATAAATTCTCATTTCCATCCTTTCACACAAAGGTTACTTATTTTGCACATTGTTCTTAACTTTGCATTTCCCCCCACTTATTAACAGCCTTGGAATTTTCCGTATCAATTTATGTGTCCTTGTTATTTTTAACAAATGTGTAGTATTCTGGTATGTGGATATGCTGTAATTGATTTCACCAATCCCCTCATATGGCCATTTGGGTTTTGTCCAGTCGTCTGCTGTCACAAACAGTGCTGTAACACCCCACCTTGTGTATATATATATATTTATATAGACCCAATTGTATCCGCAGAATAAATTCATGAAAATGAACAGCTAGGTCAAAGGGTAACTGCTTTGGTAATTATGGTGGATATTTCTTCTAATGGTTAGGTAGGAAAAAGATTGAGAAAGACAGCATTTGAGTTTCTTTTCTAGGTTTTTCTAGCTGTCTGATCCAGAACCTGTTGCTCACCTGCTCTGAGCTTCAGTTTTTGAATTTACAAAGTGTGGCCCACACAGGCTGGGGGTGTAGCTCAGTGGGAGAGCATTTCTCCACATGCTGGAGGCCCTGGGGTTGACCCTCGGCTCTGCAAAGAAATGAATGGAAAACCAATAAAATGTGGCCCACACGGTTGTGAGGATAATGTGAGATCAGCTCATGAAACCTTTACTTCAGAGTCAAACACAGCCATATAGCTTCCCAAAGGCAGGTGGCCTGGGTTCTCCCTGTGCCCGCTGGGGCCAAGGACTGAGCCCGCCTGTAGCCTACGCTCCTAACTGGAGGACTGTGGTGCCTTGTAGCTCCTGATGATCTGTGAATAGAGCTCTGGGTCTCTCCAGGGCCTTTCTAGGACTAGTTTTTGGACAGACTGTCATGGAATCTTCCTGAAGGAAGTTACCGGGTCTGCCTTAAGTCCTCAGAGCCCTGGTTCCTGGCATAATTCACGACCAAACACCCTGTGTTACGTTCGTTATTTGCCACTAACCTTATACAACGACGGATATTCTACACAGACGATTCCATTTAGAACGATTCCAGAGGATAGAAAACACTACCTCCGAGCCAACCTCTTTATCATTATGCGTTCTTGACTATCCAGATGGGATGCTTTGTGTTTGCATGGCCTTCGTCTCCTTCACCCTGCCCCCTCCCGGGGGCAAGATGACTGGAGTGCGGTGTTCCTGTTGCTCGTATTTTATTTACCCTGGGGATGGACCCTCGTTTAGAATGTGTGTGTTCAGATGAAAGGGTGAGTTTGATTTTATATGACCAGAAATGCAGGCCATGCATGGAAAAGGAACAAACCTACCTGGTCCTTCCCTCTCCGGGTGCCTGTGTGAAACTCTCAGCCTAGACTCTGTTGCTGCCAATGCTTAGTGCAAAAGTCAGCCGGCGACCACTTTGAGGTCTCGCCCTGAAAAAGGAATATCAGACCCTTCCAGATAGATCCCGCGCGGCGCATCTGCATTCCTGCCTCTGTTCTGTTTCCTGTTACAGGGGATCAGGATCTGTTTGGTGGGTGTATTTCTGAAGCCCTAGAGCCAGGTGGCTCAGGCACTTCATTGATCCAGGACATGAGTAGAGAGAAGGAAGAGGACTCTTTCAGTATACTCAGGATTTATGATGAACCAGAGGAGAGAAGGAGTATGCCAGAAAGCTCTGGTATTTCTTCTCAGCATGAACAAGTGCAGTACCAACCGGACAGTCCTTATGAAATGCTCCAGATCCCTCCATGTCCCCCCATGCAGCATGGCCCTGTTTATCAGGAGATGAGCAGTATGACCCAGCAGCAGTGGGACCTGCAGACCCTAGACACATCTGAGCTCCGGGCCATGTGGTTCTCAGGGACAGAACCAGGAGAGGCAGCAGAGGCTGGCCCCAGGTGGGGCTCTTTCAGCAGGACCGGGTGGGGCGGCCCCCTGTCCCAGGGGAGAGGGGATTCCTGCAGGAAGCCCTGTCTTCATGCCTCCTCCTCTCATTTGTCACAGCTTCCTACCAGGATCTGCGCTTGGTAAGTACTGGCTGTGACAGTGTGGGCAGGAAGGCGACAGAACGGGGGCCTGGCGTCAGGAGAGCATCCCTCTCCCTGAGATGTGCACCTCTCGGTGCTGACACCCTCTCCACCAGCGGGTGGGTGTCGCTGTCCTGTCTTCCCGCAGGCCAGCCCTCTTCTTCACCTTCCCCCAGTGGAGAAGCCTGGTCCCTCCTCAGAGCGGTTGTAAGTACCTTCTTGTCCTGGTCTCTAACCCCCAACCTCCCCCTCCCACCTGCCTGCTAGTTGAGAAACAGCGCGTCTGCGCTCTCCCTCCCTCCCCGCGTGTGCTGGTGCCCGGAACGAAGCTGCCCTCCTCTTCCCACCAGCCCCACAGTAGGCCTTTCAGCTCCCAGTGACACTCCTTCAAGGGATGTGGCCCAGGGAGCCTGGAGCCACACTCTGCTGTTGGAAGCGTTGATGGTTAGGAATTTGCTTAGTGGACAGGACCATGCTGTCCCGTGGGTGGCAGCAGGTCAAGGCCATGACCCTCTCATTGCCTCCCACCCTGTGCTCTTCCCAGCCTCCCATTCCAGGTGAAGTGGTGGTCAGGCAGAGGCCCCCACGGGATTCCTGGAAGGTTGGCATGCTCCGCCACGGGAAGAGAGTCTACGCGGTGGCCGTCGGTGGTGCAACCCGCCACGTGTACACGTGTGGCTCCGGCTACATCAGGGTGTGGGACGAGAGTGCCCTGCACGCCTGGGACAAGGCCCCTGAGGCCCAGCTGGACCTGCAGGTCAGGGTGTTCTAGTAGGGATGGGGAACCCAAAGAAGGCCTCTATTTCGGCGAGGCAAGGTGACACGAGTGTGCTCTGTCCCCGCAGAACCCTCAGAACTGTGTGCTCACCTGCAAGCTGTTCCCCGATGAGCAGAGCCTGATCACGGGAGGCGTGTCCCAGACCCTGACTCTCTGGGACCTGGCGCCCACACCCCGCGTCAGGGCACAGCTGGCCTCCACGGGCCCCATGTGCTATTCTCTGGCCATCTCCTCTGATGCTCGTATCTGCCTGGCTTGTTTCAGAGGATTTGTGGAGATCTGGGATTTACAGAACCAAATCCTGATCAGGTATGACCTCTCTCCAGAGCTACTCAGGTGCCCCTGGGGGGCTCGGCTGGGACACCTCACCTTCCCCTCTTGGCAGTCGGGTGATTCGAGGCAGTGTGGACGGTATATCTGGGACTCCCTGGCCCCATCCTACCCCTGGACCTCTCTCTGAGTTGGTTTTCTCACCAGGAAACACGAAGTCCCTATATATGGGTCCCGCTGTGTTGACATCGCAGGCAATAAATTCTGGACGGGAGGTGAAGACACCAGCTTGTATTCCTGGGACCTGCGGAGCTACCAGAGGCTTCAGCAATTCAATTTACAGAATGAGGTACCTGGTCAGCCATGTTGGGGCTGAGTGCTCCTGCCGTGGGGGTTGGATGCAGGCAGTGGCCGCCGATGTGTGTGGGGGAGTCCAGGTTGGAAGAGGCAGCATGCACCGTGGCCTTGGCAATTCTGAATGCTGATCCCAAAACTTTTTCCAAACAGATCCTCAGCATTACCCACGATCCTAGTGAGGAATGGATGCTAGTGGGCTTGAGAACGAGTGATATCATAATCCTACACACTCATCGGAAGGAGAAGTTCAAGGCTGTCCTACAAAAATACACGCACCACCACAGCCTCAAGTTCTCCTCCTGCGGTGAGGGAGAAGCAGGTGGCCCCTCCGCTTCCTGTTTGGAACCCACTTTCCCATCTTCTTTCTCCACTCACCCCTGTTTCTGTTCTGGCTGCCTCTTGGCGGGAGCTTCCTATATAGAATGACAGACAGCCCAAAGATAGACAGACAGAAGTGGCACGAAGCCACCTGATGGTCCCATTCAGTGGTACATGTCACCATCCTGTGTGTGACCGGAGGCTGGAGGCAGATAAAGCAATGGTTTGGGTCACTTCTCTGATTTTTACAGACAGGAAAACGGAGGCAGAGAAAGAGAGTCACCCTCCCCCCATCTAGTTGAGGACAGAGTTGGGACTGGGGTGTGGGCTCAGCTTCTCGCTCCTCCTCTGTTCTTTCCTCTTCCAGGCAGCTATTTTGTGACCACACTGGACGAGTCCATCCATTGTTTAGCGGCACCTTCTCTACAAAGGCTGTTTCAGGTACTGGAGGAGGGATGTGCAAAGCAGGTACTTGGAGCTCATGGCCCTAGATCCAGATGTTGGACCCAGAGAGAGAGAGAGTGCCGGGCAGTGCCTCTAAGACAGCGATCCAGGGCATTACACAAGGAGAGCACTGAGAATTAAGATCCCGTGGACTCACGGCTTCTACCTCGAGCCCCAAGACCGGGCCCTGTCTCCAGACCAAACCTCTGGGCTGTGCGAGCCTGGAAATAGTCCTAAATGAAACCTCCCATGCCTGGCTCAAGCCCCTGCATACATCCCTCTTTCCACCCCCTCTTTCCTTCTAGGTAAAGGAGTCCTCAGATATCTTGTGTTGTGACATTTCTTCTGACAACCGGTATCTGGTCACGGGCTCCAAGAACAGTGCCACGGTTTACCAGCTCATGTACTGAAGATCATGCACCGTGGCCCTCCCAGTGAAGACCCCGAGAAGGCCAGTGTGACTTAGCATGCTGGGCAAATTCAACAGCTGTCGCCCTCTTGCCTCAGCCCCCATGGCCCATCTTCTGCCCTCTCCTACACCTCCAGCCTGCACTTCGGGTTTTAAATTATATGGCTTGAGGCTTTTCCTATTTTATTTTTCTGCCTCTGATTTCTGGGTTTTGGCAGGAAATGTTATGAGATATGGCCTTTAATTAATAAAAGAGCAAAGCATAATCCAAAATTACCTGGATATGTGTCCATTTTTTTTTTCAAATAATAAAGTCATTGTAATAGATTGGTTATCCCTGTCTTTAGTAAATGGAAGCGTACTCTCTTAACTTCCTTGCAGGTGGGACAGGAATTATAGACCAGACTTACTTCTGTTTGTAATCTTTTTCTGCGAGATCAAAGTATTACTAGAATCTTTAAAAAGCTCAAGAAAAAAAATATGTATAGTTAGGCCTTTGTGGGTTCTATCTGTGTCCTTGGATTCAACCAACAATGGATTGAAAATATTAAGAAAAAAATTGCTTTTATATTGAACATATAGAGGTTTTTTCTTTATTTCCTAAACAATACAGTATAACAACAATTTACATACACTTAGTTTGTATTAGGTGTTGTAAGTAATCTAGAGATGGCTTAAAGGGTGTGGGGGATGTGTGCAGATTATATATAAATACTATACTATTTTATAAAAGGGATTTTGCTATCCATGGGAGCTTCTGGAACAAGTACCCCACAGATACCAAAAGATGACTGTACATGTACAAACTTTCGGATGGTATCAGGAAGTGGCTAGACCCATGATGCTCAGTCACTACCTGAGTCAGAAACCCAGGAGATGGTCTCCCCATGTCCTGAGGCTGGCTCCCTTTGTGGGTCTCACTTGGGTAATGTAGGAACTTCCTACTTCAAGCTACCTCTTTGTACCTCACTCTGTATAAGCCCTGGTCCTCATCCTGGCGTTTGGTACCAGTCCAACTTGCCTATCTCATTATTTCAGGACACCTTCCTCCTATTTGAGAATGCAGTATTTCCTTGAAAAAGCCCCAGCTCCTGAAATAAAGGGATATAGTCCTGCTCTCTGGTCCTCTTCCATCTGCCTCTTTGCATGGCTGAGGTAGCAGCCACCCATTGACATCTGCAGCTTGGAGTTGTCACTTCAAGGAATCCTCTTAGCCTGGGACCAACTGTCTCATCCTTTGCAGCTTCTAGACATGGTCATGTCCCCAGTTCTTGCCAGGTGAACATGAATGAATAATATGTACCATTTCTGGGCCAGGCCTAAAGAGGCAGAATGTCCTGTCCCCTCCAGAGACTTTCTCATTCTACCAGCTCAAATAAATGAGGTGAAGACCCCAGGGCATTACAATCATAAGGCAGAAGCATCCTGTGCAGGATGCTTTCATGCATCGAAGGCAGGGCAGAGGCCCACTTTGGACTATTACATGGGAGGAAAATAAACCTGTATTTGAACTTTTATTAGTTTTGAGGTCTGTATGTTACTCTAGTGTTAGAAACACTAAACTTTTTCTTAAAGGGCCAGGTAGAAAATATTTTAGTCTGTGCTGTGTGACTTTCTGTTGCAACTGCTTAATTCTGTTGCTTAAAAGCAGAAAGATAATACATAAAAATACATGAAAGCAGCCACAGATAATACATAAATGAATGAGTAAGAGTTTTATAAATAAAACTTCATATGTAAAAAGAAGCAGTGGGACAGATTTGTCCTTCTGGGTAGTTTGCCTACCTCTGCTGTTACTGGTATTCCTCAAAGTAATATAAGCAATTAGCATCCATTTAAAAATAAACAGTGGGTAGAGGCCATCAGTAAATCTATTCTTCTGGGCCATAGCAACAAAGAATTCCAAAATTTATAATGTCTATCAAGGGATGAAAGAATAAACAACATGGTGCAGCCACATTGAAAAATGGTTTGGCAGTCTTCAGAATGCTAAACATATTGTTATCATATGATCTGCCATTCTGCTCCTAGGCCTATGTCCAGAAGAACTGAAATTGAAAACAAAGTCACATAAGTTTGAAGGGAAATAATTTTGAGTGACCAAGAAATCCTAACAAACTCCTTTCTGGAAAAAAGAAAAAAGTAAAAGCCCCAATTAACAGTAGTGTTGATAAGTCAAAGAGTAGTATTATAATCTCTAGGCTAATTACAAAAAGAATATTAAACAAGTGTTCAATATCCAAACTAATAAGAACACAAAGGTAAGAAAATCAACAAAGAACGGGCAGATCAAAAAAAGGAGAAACTTAGGTAGATTTAAATATATCTGCAATTACATTAAATGTAAATGAGCAAATATTTCAATTAATCGATAGAGGTTGTATGAATGAATTAAAATAACTTTTTAAATGAGACAACATAAAGGTACAGAAAGAATAACAAAAAAGACTATGAAAAATATTTCACGTGTACACTAAAAGAAAACCAATGTCACTGTATTATACTAGACAACATATATATAAAACAAAAACCAGTATTTGAGATATAGATGAACACTTTATATGTGTTTAATTCAGGTTTTAATTCAGCAGAAAGATAAAAGAACTCTGCTTTCAGGCTGGGGTTGCAGCTCAATGGTAGAGCACTTGCCTAGCATGACCTTAGCCCTGGGTTTGAAGAATACTCTTGATAGGAGCCTCAAAATACATAAAAGAAAAGTTGACAAAATAGACAAATGTACCTCTCACAGAAACAAACAAAATTTCATGAGGATAGAGATTTGAAAATTCAGAACAATGCACACAACCACTACAGAATTCATACATAGTCCACTCCACAGAACATTTACCAAACGACCTCATATTGACAGAAATTCAGATTTAATTCTTACAGAATACATGTTTTTGAACACAATGCAATTGAGATAGAAATAAATAAGAAAACTTAAGAATTTCCCTGTTTTGGAAATTAAGAAATGTACTTCTAAATACTAATAAAGAATGTCACAACAATTCGATCTAATTGTAAACTATCAAAAATGAAAAGGTCAACAATAGCAAGGCTCAGAGCTCGGACATCATCAATGACACAACCCAAGGGGCTCTCTTAAACCACCTAGGGACAACGCCTACCACCGGATCTTTTGGGCTGGAAGCTGGTTGGCGGGAGGGTGGACAGTCATGGGGGTGTGTACCAACGCTCAGCTCTGCAAAGGGACTCTCTACACCCGCGGCTCACAGATTGGCTCTTGGGGGCTGCGGGATTTGGAAGTCTGAACCCGAGCCTGTTCCCTCTTAAGACTACTTTACTGGGTGGCATCGCACGTTAATGTTATTATTTTCTCTAAATTTCAGATTTTAGGAAGGCAAAACGACCGTGCCCTCTCTGAGGCTCGAACTCAGGACCTTCAGATTATGAGACTGACGCGCTGCCCACTGCGCCAAGAGGGCCGCTGGCGGGAGGCTGTTCTTTATTACTAAAGAGAAAATGCAGCAGCACCTTCCGCCCGCCAAACGGCCTCGGGAGAGGACTCCGGGCGCAGGGGGGAGGACGAGGGAGGCACGTGGGGAAGGAGGGTCTCTTTCCGGAACGGAGCGCCCTGGGCGGAGGGGACCTGCTCGGGTTAGGGCTTCCCGAGAGCTGCGTCCCCGGCTGCTCTGCACCTGCCGGGCGCACGGCCGAGGGGACCCTCCCGGCGCGCCGCGGGTCACCGGGAGGAGGGGGTCCCTGTGTTACCGGGGACGCCGGGCGCGGCCGAGTGGGGCCAGGCTGGGGAGGGGCGAGCGCGGCGGCGGCCACGGAGGCGCCGGGAACTCGCGCCCGGCTTCGGGAAAGGGTCGCGGGCGGGAGCGGGAGCGCGCGGAGGAGGCACGTGCGAGTGGCCGGCCCAGCTGGGGAGCTCAGCCTTGGCCGCGGTGGTCGCGGGGGCAGGTCGCCCGGGAGCTCAGCCTCGGCACCCCACCTTCAGGAACGGTGGGTGCCCTGGTGGAGGGGGGCGGGGGCGGCGACGCGCAGTCTCCGCGCCCAGGCCCGGGGGTGGGGGTCGAGGTGGGAATGGGGGTGAGTTAGAGGTGACAAGGGAAGGTCTGGGAGACTCTTGGATGTGCCTGAAGTAGAAATGATTATCTTGGGCTTGCTGACTGATCTCCATGTTTTTTTTTTTTTTTAAATCTCTTTTCTTTCAAATAATGATTTCGTTTCCTCGATATCTGTACGGGCACCTCATCTTGAAGGGCGAAAGAGTCGCCCTTGAACGTTGTCTGAGCAGAGTTTAAAAATTCTAAGAAAAGGCTACAAGAATAAAGAATGCAGAAATGGTGGTGTCATTCCCTCCTTGCTCCTTCAGGGACAGTTCTGCTACCGATGCCCAGAGGGACGGGTGCCCAAGGAATCTTCACCCATCCCATTTACCCCCAAATCGCTATGGGGTAAGGTGACGACCTGAGATGCCTCTTCTCTTTCACTCTCCAAGCCCTTGTGAATTTTTCCTTTTGTTTTTATTAGAGTAATACTATATTTTAATATACCTGGTGGGACTAATCCTCTCCAATTTCTTTTCGGGCTCCCTTATTTCACTGTGGCTCTCTCTTCCTTGCTCTTCCAGGGCACGTAGCGTCTAACTAGCACGTGCTGTGGCTTCAGGTGGTGCTCCATTGTTCCCCGAGGCATTAGACTGGGACCTTTGTGATGGAGGGACAGGATCTGAGCCAGCCTCACCACCCCACATTCCACCCTCTCAGAAGGATGCCTAAGGGAAGGTTCTTGGTCCTTCCTTTAAACCACACTCTGCTGCCATCTTCTGGGATAGACTCAGTGGGGGAAGGCAGGTGTTCAGTGAGGAAAGGGCACTGACCCCTGTGGGTCCGGAGAGTGGCTTCCCTTCCCACTTGAGGGGGTACCAGTTCTGCCCAGCAGAGCCGTGGGACAGCTGTCATGCATTCCATCTATACTTTTAGAGCTTGTAACAGTTGAACTAAGGAACAGTTAGTTAGCCTATTGGAGGAAACAGTTTGAGGAGTGAGAGTAGATTTTATGCTGGCCAAAACCGGTTTTTAGAACCCCAAACCTCTGTTCAAGTGTGCCCTTTTGGGCAAACAGAAGTTCTTATGTAGGGAAAGATTGTGTTTTCTCGAAGGGTCTACCGGAACAGCAGGTGGAAGGAAGGGGAAGCACAGGATGTTCTCCCGATATCAGGGGTGGTGGTCTCCCTGGTGGGGTGATCATGGGACTCGTGGAAGGGATGGGCAGCCTGTGATGTCTAGCTCTGTAGAAGAGAAGGGTTTCTTGCCCCTGTAGTGGGGCCTCCAGTCTAGACAGGGCTCCTCCAGCAGGAAGATAGATTCCAGGGTTCAGGCAGTGGGTGGTGGTGGGGAGACTCCCCTGCTTTGGGGTTGGGCCAGGAGAATGCTCTGGAGGTGAGGGCATCTTCCAGGAAGTCTCTGTTGGCTGCTATTTCTGGGAGCTGCTGGGAGGGGGGGTGCAGTGTGTGGAAATATCTGTTTCTTGGTTTCACCTGCAGGGTGCCTTGGGTTGGCAGTTGCCACCTTCGGTGTGGCCAGAGTTCTTTCATCCTCCTGTGCCATGAAGGAGGGTCTGCATAGGACTGTGCATTCTACAAGACCTTTCTGTTGCTCTGGGTTTTACCCAGGTCTAAGGATTTGGGTTAATTTCTTTTGGGGAAAGATTTTGCTGCCTTACTTCCTGGTTTTTGCCTCACTGAATAAACTTGCTTTGGGGACAGTACGTTTGCTGATGGTCTTCACTAAGACCCTGCAGACTCTTAATGTTGATTTTCCAGGAAAGCATTGTCCCTATGAAGTCAATAAATGTCTTTCAATACTTGGGTTTTATTCTAGCCCGTGCTTCACTGGTGTGCTCCTTCGGTGTCATTTTAAAGAACCTGTGTTTCTTTTGCTGCTAGGATCGCTTTGCTCTGCACAGCTGGGATCTACATTCATTTTTCAGAAGGGTGTTGACCTTGCCTAGTGAGTGCTGTTAGTCTGCCTTGCCAGTTCTTCCTGGTGTTGCCTGGCTGATATAACTTCCTGGAAGTATTCTTGTTGTTTCCCACCGTGGGTAAACAGAGACTTGGTCAAAGTCATCCACCATTATTTTACATACTGTTCTTATTACTTACTGGTCTTTCAGCTCTTCCCCGGGCATAGTGTGATCTTTCAGAAGGCATCTTCTTGTGTCTTGCTGGAATGGACTTCTGGAACTTTCTGAGATGGCTCAGGGCATTTGGTGGAGTCTTTAAAGTTGGCTCGCTGCATTCTGCAGCATTCTTTTCATATTGGATTCTGACAGTTTGGATCTGCGTGTCTCTTCTCTCCATTTAAATTCTTTAAAGCTCTTCTCACCTTGGAATGCTTTATTAAATCTCGTGTGAAGTCTTGTAATATTTCTATAGATTCTGGGTTTTTTTGACATCTTTGCTATTTTCCCTTGTTCCTCTGATTCCAAATGAACATGCAGATTCCCTACTAGAGTTGGGTTTGATTTATTCAAGCCCAGACATTTCCTCAGGCTGATTCCTGTTTTGCACCCTGATGAGCTCAAAAGATGCCCTTAAATTTTTGTTCAAAATATGCCAATGTATTTAGGATGCCTTGAAGTCACTACGTTCTGGGGATCAATCTCTGGGTGAGGAAGGACAATTGCTCCCCCCATTTTTTTCCTGTTAGCTAAAGCCAGGCACCAGGGGGTGCAAAGGACAGGGGTCACCTGGGCATTCTAATGGACAGGTGAAAGAGGCTATAGGTCCCTTCTGCCAGCCTTAGCTCCAAGCACTCTCTTCAACTACTTGGACACAGCAGAAGAGTTTGGAGGCAGTGTCCTGTGTCCCCAGTCTTTCTCCCTGGGAGCTCAGCCTCCAGTGGCAAAGTGCAGTCTCTCAGAAGCTGGGTTGTGGGGATCTTGTGCCCCTCCGTTGTGGCATTCTGCATTTCTCTGTGTTGCCAGGAAGATACGGGGGAACTGACCTCCTCCAGGCTCCCCTGGACCTTGATGAGCTCTACCCTGGTATAGAGCAGGGCGGGTGGCCACTGAAGGGGGGTTCCTGGGACTGGGGCTGGTGGGACCAGGGATGCCTGGGGAAAATGGGAGGGGAGCGTGCAGGGGCTAGGCGTGGGGTCCCAAGCTGGGTGAAATGGGAACCCTGGGAGGCCAGTTTGGGGTTCAAGTGACCCCTTCTGAGGGTTGGGGTGGTGGTTGAAGAGAAGAGGACAAAGAGAGCAGAGGAAGCTGAGGTTCGAGGTGCCCGGGACCACCTTCCAGATGTGCTCAGGCCCATACCGTCTCACTTTGGATCAGGCCTTCCAAGCTACCCAGTTCAGCCTGTGCCCCTTGCATGTCACAGAGAGCTCTGCTTGTAACTCATATGTGGACCCCCTTAGGTAAGGAGCCCATCCCAGGGGCAGCCTGCCAGCCCTGGACTCCTCATCCCTCACACTCTTCCTGTGTCTCTGCCACCCAACTCCTAGGCCACCCGAACCCCACTGTTCAAGTCACCTCTGAAAGATGCAGGTGTTGACCTGGAAAAATTACCTTTCTGCAGAATGGAGGCATGGAGAACTTGGTTTTTGTCTGCAGATCTGTTGATAGCATATTCCACCCCCACCCCCACCCCCTGCCCCACAGTTAGCACTCCCTGAGGCTCAGCAGCAGAGGAACAGCATTGTTTGTGTTTGGGCAAGATCAAAAGCACTGATAAGTGGACTTTATTCTTGAGGGCTGACTTGGCTGGATATCAAATCCTAGGGTCAGGGTGGTTTTCCTTGAGCCTCCTACCCCCAGTCCTATATTGCTGTGGAGATGTCTGGCCCAGCCTGGTTCTCACCTCTTTGTACAGGCTTCCTGGTTTATTCTTTTTTAGCTTCCAAGTGCAGTGTCTATTCTTGGGTGGTTCAAGGTATGAAGGCAGTGTGGGTTCTGAAGCCAGATAGGCTACGGTCAAGACCTCCTGAACCCATCCCTCATTGTATGGGCTTGGGAATTTGATATCTCTGTGCTTCCATTTTTAAATTCAAAACATGGGCATAAAATGGCACTGACTTTACAGGGTTCAGTGGGGTGGACCTATATAAAGGACATAGGATGAGGTTGGGACATAGTAGATGGGCATGATTAGTACTACCACTAAATCAAATCTTGCATGAAGAATATATAAGCTTGTTAAAAGTGTTACATAATCCAAATAGCAAGAGAACCAGTCAAGGAAAACTGGATTTCTTTTAGCCCTGTTAGTACTGATTTCCACAGGAAGAAGGAATCATGGACAATGTTGTTTGGGGTGACAGTGGCCGGTTTTAGAGCCCTGCAGAGCTATGGTTTCTTCTTTAGGTACTTGGGTGTTGGAACCTGTGTCCTAAAGACCCAGCGTCAGCTTGTAGCAATGCCCGGTGGGGGTGGTACTGCTAAAGGTGCAGCCGTATAGTTCTACATTTTTGTTTTTCATTTGAGACACACTTTTCCCTGATTCATCTTCCATGTTAATTCTTCCCAGTGTGCCCCACCTTAGAAAAGCATATTGAGACATAATTCATGTAGAGTTCACCCATTACCACATACACCTCAGTGGTTTTTATGTCTGTAAAGTCTAATGCAGCATCACCACCATAAGTTTTAGAATGTTTTCTTCACCCCCCCCCCCCAAAGGAAAACATAGTGAGTAGCAGTCAGGCTTCATTTCTCTCCCTGCACCCCTAGGCCCCACTACTCTACTTCCTGTTCCTATAGGTTGGCCTCTTCAATCCACTTGATATAAATGGAGCCATACGGTATGTGGTCTTCTGTGCCTGGTTTCTTTCATTCAGCATAAAGTGTTTAAGGTCCAGACAGGTTGTAGCATGTGTCAATACTTCATTATTTTTATGGAAAAATCATATTCTATTGCATTGTTATATTAATACAAAACCATTTTAAAAAATCAGTAAGAGAGAGGGGTAAGGAAGTATAAATAAACCAGTTTGGCAGTATATTGCTATTTGGTGAAGTAGGATGAGGGTGACAAGAGTTTTTCTACACTGTCTCTGTTTGAAGTGCCTCATAATGAAATTCTATGTGAACTTCAAAGACCAAATAGTTCCAGTGATCTACCAATTGTTTCAGATCATAATTTTTTTTTAAGTGAGTGGGTACCAGGGATTGAACCCACAGGTGCTTAATCACTGAGCCACATGCCCACACCTTTTTAAAAAATTAAAAATCAGTATCACTTTTGTAAATCAAGGCAAAATGCAAAATAAAACATTATCAAACAGAATCCCACACTATATTAAGAAAACAACGTACCATGACTAAGTGGAATATTCCAGGGATGTCATGTTGGACTAATACTAGGAAATGTATTCATAAGGTCTCATATCACAAAACTTAACACCTGTTTTTAACTTTAAAAATTAAAGAAAAAAGAATTGATCAATACTCTATAATGAGATATTGAGATTGATCTAGATCTGTCTATTCAAGGCATTATCTCATTTAATAAGAAATACAAGAGGACTATCCCTGCCAGACATCGGATATTACACAGAACTAAAAAGCTCAGGGGGGCCTTGGGCCATGGAAAGACACTGACGAGCAACTGGATGAATTTGAATGGAGTCGGTAGATGAGGTAGCTTATCAGTGTTCATTTTCTGGTTTCAATCATTGCATCAGTGTCGCGTGTTACAGGTGAGTTGGGTGAAGAGTCTATGGGAACTTTACTATGTTCATAACTGTTTTGTAAATCTGAAAATTATTTTGAAAGGAAAAGTTAAAAATTAAAAAGCAAAGGAATAAAATAGAAGTCTGCCGCCCTTACTCCAGAGATTCGGATTCAGAAAGAGTTGGAAATGGGCAGAGATGACGCTCTCAACACACTAGGCATTTCCAGCATTTAGGTATAAACTCTCCTGGATTAGGTGACCTTCCACATCTCTTCTACTCAAGAAATATTTGAATGAATAAACACATTTCATGGAAATGGAATAAATAAATAAAAACATGGCAAAGTGACTTGAGCTTGGCAAGGGGCTAGGCTGAGGGTGTGAGGGTTTCCATGACAGGAAATACATCTGTGTTAAACGCTTTTTTTATTTATTTGGTACCAGGGGTGGAACCCAGGAGTGCTTAACCACTGAGCAACACCTCATCTCTTTCTTTTATTGAGACAGGGTCTCCCTAAATTGCTTAGAGCCACACTAAGTTGCTGAGGCTGGCTTTGAACTTGTGATCCTCCTGCCTCAGCTCAGCCTCTTGAGTCACTGGGATTATAGGCATGCGCCACTGTGCCCAGCACGATATGTTTTTAAATCAAGTGCTCCCTACGAATCAGATATTTTTTGCTTTAAACTCAATGCCCAAATTCCTTCCTTCAGAATATGTTTTAAATTATTTTTGGTGCCAAGTACTGGGATTCGTGTTGTGGGGATAAAAAGTAGGGAGACACAGGTCCTGCCCCCATGGAGTCTGTGGTTCATTTGGAAGGACACACAGTGTGTCTCATGTGACTAGTAGGAGGCAGAGGGCAGTTGAGATCCAGAGATTGGACCAGGCTTACTGAAGGGCGGGGTGAGCAGTTGGTCTGTTGGAATGTGGGGGAAGGGAAAAATCTAGGAGGCAGTTGGGGGTGGCTATAAGCAGAGAGGACCGTTGGAGTGAGGAGACAGTTGGAGAGAGATCGGCCAAGGGATATGACTGACAGTGCTGTGAGCAGACCAAGGGTCATTGGGAGGGGATGCCAGGTGGAGAGAGAGGTAAGTCCTACATCTGCTGTGTTCGGGTCTGTGAGAGACACTGAGCTCAGATTCCTGCTCTCCAGAATCCCACAGTCCAGGGCTGGACTTCTGGGTAGAATGAACTTAGTGCCCTAATGGAGGGAGTAGGGATGAACTGCCCAAGGCTCTGGCTAGACTCAGGGTCCAGAGATTGGGGTTGGTTGAGTTTTGGGGAAAGACAGACATCCATATGGACCTTTGGAAATGTGGTCTGTTGATCAATAGAGAAGACTTGGAACAAAAACTTGACATTTGCTCCCACAACTGTCTGAGGATGGATTCTGGAGGGGGGGGAATGTGGCCTGAGGGTCATGGAGTGGACACAGGAGAGTCTTGGGTAGGGTCACACTGGAAGCCATTGGAGGAGAGAGAGACGCTTGAGCCAGTCACCTGATTCACACTCCTCTTGGGCTCCAGTACAAGAGGATTCCGCATCCTCTTCCTCCATTATGCCGTGTCTAATCCAGGACAGGACCAATCCTAGAAGGTCTCTCTAGAGCTCAGACTCCCCTCCAGTTCCAACACTTTCCATGGATCCCTGTGGCCTCCAGTCCAGGGTGTGAGTCAGATGTCCCTGGCCCAAAGTTCTCTGCCTGATTTCAGGGCCTTGTTTGTGCTTTGAGCCTCCCTCCCACCCCAGCTGTGTCTCCCGCTGCTTTCCAACCTTTCCCTGTGCCCTGGCCACGCAGATCCCTTTCCTTTCTTTTAATACCCTTCATCCATCTTTTTTTCTTTTGGTTCAAAATGAGGCCCGTCCCTCCACCAGGGAATTCTAACCCACCCTCCTGCACAAGCCCCACCTGTAGGAATTCTCCCCAGCCATGAATCCACACTGATGCTTTCCTCCCTTCTGTTTTCCTAGGTTTAGAGATGATTCCACAGCACGGCTCAAGGTGAGGGGCTGCATTTGGCTGAGACCATGTGTGTCTGTCCTAAGTTATAACTAACAAAGCTCCTTGAGCCAGGGACGGGGATCATAGCTATCCCTGGGATTGATACAGGCCACGCACTGACTGCTCTGGGGGAGATTGCAAGACGCTGCCAAGCTCCTGTCACCATTTGATACCATCTTGTGCCCAAGTCCAGTTCTGGGGTTGGAGGGGCAGAAGTGGTGTGGGAGAAAGAGCACTGGACTGGGAGTCAGGGTCTTGAGTCTTCCATTACATGGTCAGTGGCCATCAGCAAATGGATTCCTCTGGGATTTGATCTCTGCATTCATACAGTGTAGATGTGGTATTGGACCAGACTGTCCTGACTTCCTCTTCAGTGACTAGGACCAGAAGTTCCTCAAACTTGAATGTGCACACTGTTAAAATGCAGATTCTGGTTAGTGCATTTGGCGTGGGTCCTAGGAGTTTGCATTTCTAAGTGAATCCTAGGTGAGGTGACGTTGGTTGCCTGGGAACTGAACTTGGAGTTACAAAGGTCTAGCTCAGTGGTTCTCAGCCCTAGCCAAATATTAGAATGGTCTGAGGTGTAGCTCCTTCCCCTCCCCTTCTCCATTTCTAAAGAAAAGTTCACCTGGAGGAGACTGTAAGGAACCTGATGTTAGGGTTGCATCCAAGGCACATTTAATCTGAATTTGCTGACAGAGAATTGAAGACCAATTAGTTGTTTTCAGGAGAAGGTTTTTTTGTGTCTCTGTTGCCCCCTTGTGGTCACCTTGTGCACACATTTCAAACCTAAAGTTCATTTTCCATTAGAGACAAGAATCATCAAAACAATAAAGAAAATAATGCTGCTGCCCATGGTGAATGGGCTTCCTTGTGACCCCAGGACCCACCTTGCCACGCATGAGTGCCTCCTCTGCACTGGAACTGAATATAATTCTTTAAAGGAGCTTCAGTCCTGTTTTCCTGGGATGTCGCAAATGAGTGAGGAAAACTCCATCATGTTCAGGGATGATCCAGGAAAGAAGGGGCCTTGGAAGGGTGGCTGGCTGGACCCCAGACCCCAGCATCCACACTGTCCAGGGCCAGACGGGTCTGTTTCAGTTTTGAATCTCATACTGAAGCCTGTGGAGCTGACCACAGTCTTGACTTGAGGGGCTGGGGTGGCTGGCAGAGGCCTTTGGAGACTGAGAAAAAAGTGTTTCTAAAAAGTCCTTTAATGGACGAGCGCCAAAGTCATGGTGAAGACCCAGCCCCTGGACCCATGATTCTCCACTGCTGCTGCCCTTTTCTTGAAGCCGCGAATTCATTCTCAGGAGCCCTGTTGAAGTTCCCTGGGGCCTTGGGTCAGCAGGCTCTGCCTGCCTGCTCACCTGGGGGGTGGGGAGGAGTTCTGCCCAAAGAACTAGTGAGCCCTAGGAGCAGGGGAGGTGAGCCCAGCTGGGAGGGGCCCCCCAGAAGCCATGGTGCCTGGGCTACCCTGGCCACCCCTTCTTGCCCTTGGTTGGTTGATACCAGAGACACCACAGAATAGTAGAGACAATTTTGCTCCAGGAGTATCTATAAGAACACTTCAATTTTTTTTTTTAAAAAGAGAAAATTTTTAGTATTTATTTTTTAGTTATCGGCGGTCACAACATCTTTGTTGGTATGTGGTGCTGAGGATTGAACCAGGGCCGCACGCATGCCAGGCGAGTGCGCTACCGCTTGAGCCACATCCCCAGCCTACGCTTCAGTTCTTTTTAAAATCACATCCCTGTCCTGTTCTCAGTCTTGACTTCCCCTTAATGGGAGCGCCCCAGCCCTCCTCCCACCCTGACCACACCGACTGTGTACTGTCCCACAGACAGTGCTGAGCCTCCTGCTCCAAACCTTTGCTCTAAATACTCCTTCCCATCACTGAGGCAAATCCAATGCCATTGCCTGTGGGCTTTGTTCTCCCACCCCCACCTCCTTGCCATAATGGCACAGAAGGAACTTGCTCTGTCCCCTGGCTCCCCCAGGCGACTTCACCAGGCACAACCCCTTTGCACTGTTTCTTCCCCCACCCCTACCTCTAGGGACAATTTCTCTTTCTTAGGGGGAAAGGGCGGTTTAGAGTTTGCCGAGTCCCCTGAAGCTGGTGCCTAAGATGTTTCCCATGTGTTGAATTCTCAAATGTCCAGACTGGGGACAGCCTTGTGTAGGATCCAGGAAACCAAGAAGTGTTTATTGGCAGGATGAAGATATGAGTGCTGTTGGGTGCACTTCTGCAATCCCAGCGACTCTGAAGGCTGAGGCAGGAGGATTGCAAGTTGGAGGCCAACTCCAGCAACTTAGCAAGGCCCTAAGCAATTTAGTGAGACCCTGTCTCAAAAAGGCGGGGTGCTGGGGATGTGGCTCAATGATTAAGTAACCCTGGGTTCAATACTTGGCACCAAAAAATAAAATAAAATAAAATAAAATAAAATTGAGTGCTGAGGGGATCATAGGAGTCCCACCAGATGTGGACCTGGCCAGAGGGAGGTCTGGTATGGTGAGACGGGCACGTTCTCCAGGTGGAGAGGTGCTGTGGCTCACGGTGAGTTAGGGAGTGGGAAGAGGAAGCAGCTGGGACAAGGGGGAAGTGAAATGCCTTCTCTCTCCGGCACCTGCCTCAGCCCAGCCCGTTGCACTCATTTCCATCACATCTTTGCCTCGAGGTTTCTTGGGCCATCAGCCTCATTCAGGAAACCTCATGGGGGCCTGAACAGTGTCTGCTCATTTCTGGTCCCCAAACTGCAGGTCCCAGTGGTTGGCACGCAGAAAGCCACCAATCGGTGCTGCTGAGTAGATAAGTTTGGGGAGGCAGTAGGGGGAGCATGCCTGGCTTGTGGCGGGAGTCCCAGGGAGTCCTAAGGGGTGGTGTGGAGTGGAAGCAGAGAATATGCCTGGAGCCCAACCCGCAGCTCTCCTGAGCAGCATCCACAGAAATCTTAACACACCTAAGTATGGGTCACTCAGCAATTAGCCAGCAGAGGGCACTCTGGTGCCACCCGCCTTGGCTTTCCTAGCCATCTCCCCACAAGTCCTGATGATAGGATGTGGAATTCTGGCAGCCAGCTGGCTCCTCTCTGCACAGGGTGCAGGGACAGGCAGATGCCTCTCTGTGCAACCTGCCCTCCATGGGATGAGGAGCTGGAAGGGTCTGATATGAGGTAAAGTGGCATGGGCCGAGAGAACTAGCTAGTCCTCACCTCAGTGCCTCTGCCCCTGCCTATCATGCCCGCCCGCCTGCTTCTCTCCCATCAAAGGGTGGGGCTTATCTATTCCAGCCTGTTTTGGGATGCCGAGTGACCTCAGTCATCCTGGCTGTGGTGCTGCTGTCAGGCAATGGGATGCAGGTGTTGGACCTGAGCATTTGGAGGCCCATGTTGCCCTGAAAGGGACCAGAATCAAGGGGATCAACCTTCTTTCACTATTGGGCCTGGTCTCGAGATAAGCATTTCCCATCCCTCTCTCCAAAAGTCACCTGTGCTCAACTGTAGGGTTGAGGTTCCCAGTCCCAGGAAAGCGCTAGGGTCCTCCTAAGGGACACCCGAAAGCAGACCTCTTCTGCTAGGTATCAGAATTGTACCAGGCAGCATGACAAACTGGTTCTGACGACATGACTGCTCCCTAACAGTAAAAAAAATACCCAAAGAAGGAAGCACGTCAGCTGTGGGTGCTGATGGGAGGAGCAGGGTGCTGGGAGTTTGACTTCACAATACTGTTATACCCATTTTAAAAAGTCGGTTTAGCAAATGGGTGACATGGATAAAGCTGGCTGGCTGCTGTTAAACAAAAAGACTTGAACATGTGTGTTTTCAAACTATTTGTAAAAAGCGCCTCTGAACACAGTTTGGTTGAATGCAGTTTTTGATTGTCACAGGCCTCTGACAGATGTGACGGCGTCATGCTGAGTGGCTTTCGACAGCAATCAGATAATCTTTCCAAGGCCATCGGGGTGCAAAGACAGAGGATGGGCCTCTGGGGCTCAAGCCACAGTGTCCAGCCAGAGGAAAATCAGGTTGGTTCTTGCATGAGTATGATCCTGTCTGGCCCATGACTAGTCACTTACTAGGAAACAGATGCACAGATGGAGGGAACCGAGAGAAGATTTAATGGAGGAAAAATACAGAAGCCTCAGGGATTGGTCATTAATTCCTCTCATTCGTTTCCAGGTGTTTTCAGATTGCTGGTCTGTCTGAGGAGCACAGAAAACCTCCTGGCAGGCTCTGAGTAGGCAGGTTGGTGATGGTAAATACACCAGGAGGGGCTCGGAGCTGATTCGCTCACCATGAATCGGCCACCGGTGTGCTGGTCCCTTTCACCTGTGAGTATGTTTGGGGATGAGAAGGAGCTGACCGGGGACCTGGAGGCTTCCTACCAGGAGCCGTGAGCCAGCTCTGCACCTGGGGACGCCTGCATCTGTGAGAGATTCAGAGCAGTGATCAGCTTCCGGCAAAGCCCCGAGGCCCGTGGAGGGTGCTGCCTCTGCTGGGCGCCTGCTGTCGTCCACGGTCATGTCCATCTCTCCATGTCTGCCTGGGGGAGCAGCTGTAGCTGGTAGCTGGGCGGCAGGATGTGAGGACCGACCAGGTATCTTCAGTGGCCCTCCAGGCTCAGCCTTGCATTTCACTGTGTGAGCTGGATGGAAAGCCAAGGGTGTGTGGGGGGTGGGCAGGGGCGGCCAGGGCACTCCCAGGGTGGCCGCCCAGTGGGTTTCACGAATGTCTCAGAACCTGGAATACTGGAGCCATTCCTGCAGCCCTGCCAGTCACTAGCAGTGTCACCTTGGAAAGGTTGCCTTAACTTCTCTGTAACCCCCTTCTTCTCTGTCACATGGTGATCATAATAGTCGCAACCCAGTTGGATGGCTGTGAGGTTTAAATGAGGTAATACGTGCAAACAGTTCTTTTGAACAGGGTCCCTTTTATTTATAAAGATTAAAAAAAAAGTAGTTGGCATACTTCCTTTGAAAAGTACCTGACCTCAATATCTTTTGAGTGTTGGAGATTGAGAGGTGTTCATGACTGCTCATAAGAAACTGTTGAATCCACCCACACCCAAAAGCTCCTCTCGGTGTGTGAGGTACGGTACACATATGCCCCCCCTAGGGATGAAGTCTAAGCTTCATGTGAGGGGTGATGACTCAGATTGGATGTCCAGGGGATCTCAAGGGATCTCAGGTGCCTGTATTCTAGACCTGCCTTTCTCAGCCTTGGCACTGTTGACATTTGGGGCCCAATTATTTTTTGGTGTAGGGAAATGTCCTGTGCATTGTAGGATGATTGGCAGTATCCCTCTCTTTACCCACTAGATGTCAGTAGCACCTCCCCCCCACTCCTTCCCTAGTTTTGACAATGAGAACTGTCTCTGGACCTTGCTGAATGTTCCCAGGCAGGGGTGAGGGGGCCAAAGTCACCCTGATGGAGAACTGCTGCTTTACCACGTTGCCCGTGTGCTGCGCTCTCTGTGAGTGGTTACGGGCACTGTGTTGAAGTTTAGTGGGATTTCTTTTCTGAACTTGTTGATCTCCGCTTCTATGTACTGACTGAGCGGCTCACTGCAGTCCCAGGAAATGGGTTTTTCAAAGTTGAAGGACTACAGACTTTACAAACCCCAGCCCTGTTTGAAATAAAGTACTGGTTCCTACACCAGGCTGGGCAGCTGAGTCAACTGAAACCAAGTTCTTCTATTTCTTGTTGAGCAAACCTGAAGGTTTTTTACAGCCATAAATGCAACATAAAACTTGCAGTCCTTTACTGTTGGGTAAAAATAAGAGCTAATGATTAAAATGAACCCGTGAATTCTGTGGGGAAGAAGATCTTGAGGCAATTTTCTTTTGTGGTGAATACATTTTTGTTTAATCATACACCAGCGCGTTGGTGGACCCGGATTCAGACAGACACCAAAGGTGGGTCCTAAGGAGAAGTCTTCACAGGATACAGGTGGAAGCCTTTGATGTCCCCGCTCTGTAGGAGGGGGCCTAATTGCTCTGGGTGGGAGGGCTGGGCTTTCATTTGGGGGCATCACATGATGAGTATCTCTGCAATTTCTGTTGTTATGCTGAGTCAACCTCTGAAGACAAATCTGGCTCAGCTCTTCTTGTTTGACTTCTTAAACATCAGCTCTAAGATCTCCGCGTAGTTTCCATCTCAAGGATGTGTTGCTGCTCAGGAGTGAAGAGTGTCTCCCCAGACTTGGGAAGCTTCTTTCCTGAATCCCTCATGGAGCTTGCTCCGGGGTGGTCCTCTTGCTGTGGGCTTGCCAGCACATTGGTTCCTCACTGTTGGGTTTGCCTCTGGTGCCTGGCACAGGGCAATGGAAGCAAGCTTTGGACATGCTGTTGGTGCAACAAGAAGCACCACTAGGTCCTAGCGTAAGGGGACCAGGTACTAGTTTTTGTCTTGAGTTGGTTGATGACCCGAGGTGTAAAAATCAACATGGAGAGAAGCTCTCAAAGGTATGCTTCAATAATGAGCATGATCATTTGAGCCTCCTTTTTGATCATGTAGACCTGGGTCATCATTTGTGCAGTTGATCCTGAGCCCTTGGTGCTTAGGATTCCAACGATATCACCTTGCAATGGTTGTGCCCCAGCAGACATAGTGGATGCTGAGCATCTAGAGTTGGGCTAGGCATGTGCCCCCCTCAGCAGTGCTGCCTGCAAGGCTCTCTGCAGAGCAGGTGTGGCTGTTAACCTGGGACTCCCTTTGCAACGATGCTGGGAGGTTGAGTGCTGCACAATGCAGACTGATGTTGCGGGTCATCGTTGACGTGTGGTATTGGAGATTCTGGCTTCCCATCTGAGCATGGTAGCCACAGGGCTTGGATATCAGGTTTGGAATTCATTGCAAATGATATCTCTTGAGACTATATTTCTTAAAATTGTGCTCACACCCCCGAGGATCACTGTGGTCTAAATTGTGAACAGTGTGCAGTCTCTTGCTTGCTGTGTTTTCAGCAGGAAAACATCTCATCCTCTGTGGGTGAGGCCCAATCTCATGATTTCTCACTTAGCAGAGTCAGGGGCAGATGCAGAGGACCTGAGGGAGTTGATGGTCAGATTGGCCCCAGATCTGCCATTTTTTTGGGAACAGAGTTGGTTCCCCTGTGACACTTTGGCACAGAGGTTCTTCTGCACTTACCTGCAGAGGTGAAGGGTTTCAGGCTTGCTCAGCAGGCGCCAGACTCAGTCTAGGCTAAGCTCCCAGTGAGGGTTGAGGACACTGCATCTTGACTGGTCAGCAGCAGAAAGCAGTAGTTTTATTGTGTGTGTGTGTGGGGGGGCGGTCCTTATACTAGTCAAAACAGTGATTTGGAACCCCAGACCTTAGACTATGGTCTGCCTTGTACCCTCTTGAGAAACAGAAGTTCTTATTTAGGGAGAGATTGTGTTTTCTCGAAGGGTCTAAGGGAACAGCAGAAGGGGAGGCACAGGACGTCCCCTGGTGGGGCGGGCATCTCTGCCCTGGGGTGATCATGGGACTCGTGGAAGGGATGGGCAGCCTGTGATGTCTAGCTCTGTAGAAGAGAAGGGTTTCTTGCCCCTGTGGTGGGGCCTCTGCTGAGCCCTAGGAAGTGGTGTTGGGGCCTCCAGTCTAGACAGGGTTCCTCCAGCAGGAGGAGAGATTCCATGGTTCAGGCAGTGAGTGGTGGTGGGGAGACTCCCCTGCTTTGGGGTTGGGCCAGGAGAATGCTCTGGAGGTGAGGGCATCTCCCAGGAAGTCTCTGATGGCTGCTATTTCTGGGAGCTGCTGGGAGGGGGGGTGCAGTGTGTGGAAATATCTCTCTGTTTCTTGGTTTCACCTGCAGGGTGCCTGGGGTTGGCAGCTGCCACCTTCGGTGTGGCCAGAGCTCTTTCACCCTCCTGTGCCATGAAGGAGGGTCTGCGGGTGTTCCTTGTAGATAGGACTGTGCATTCTACAAGACCTTTCTGTTGCTCTCGATTTTATCCAGTTCTGGGATTTGATGTTTGTGCATTTTCACTTCCTCAAGCAGCTTCTTCTCTTTCTCCTTCCTGACCAACTGTCTGTCCACCAACATGACTTGCTGCCTGTGGCCTCGGGGGGGCCTCATGGTTTTACCTTCATTTTCCAGATGAGCACTGACCAGCAGCAAGTCGTGCCTGGCCTCTTCCCGCCTTCCTCCCTCCTCCATCAATTGCCTGCTCCGACCCCTCTCATTAGGGACGGAAGGCCGCATCTTTTTCAAACCACTCTCTTTTTTCTTGACTCAGTTTGTTTTGCAGAGCCATGACTTGCTGCTGATGGCCTTCTGAAGGCTTGTTGTGAGGTTCCTCTTGAGTTTTTGATAGAACATTGGCTGCCCGCCTTCTTTTTTCTTCCTGTGATGGCACAGTGAGAGCTCTTCTCTCCCCTGGGAAGGGAACGGGGCTGCCCATTTTGAAATGTGGCAGACAATATTTTGTCCTGGGATCATGATATGACTTGTCAGACTTCGAATTTTGTCACCCTGGTGTTCAATTGCTTTCTGACTTGTGGTGCATTGGATGCTAGGGGAAGGTGTGTACGTGGGTGGTGAATGGACCCCCCCCCCTCCAGTCTCTCTTTGGTTGAGGGGTGCCCTGGCTGGGGGTTAGCTCTCCAGAACTTGTGGCCTAGGGCCTGTTGGGCCGTTTCTTTCCCTGTCTACGCTTTTGCCTATGCCTCCTCAGCTCCTCAGCACGAACCGGTTGGGGTTTTAACTGCTCAGGCTCTGATGAGACTTCCTATCTTGTGAGGAGAGTCTGCTGACTTCACTATGAAACCAGAGCCTGAGAAAGGTCACACTGGGAAGGGAGTCCAGAGCCGTCCCCTTCCTTTGAGGACTTAACAGGGGTCTCCTCTGCTGCCTACCTGGGAGCTCGCATCCTCTTGGCTTCTCCTTTCTGTCTGTTGACAGGAAGCCTCGGGTGACATCCACCAAGTCCCTACAGTCCCCATCTCAGAGGAGCAGCAAGAAGGGGGTTCTGTACCTTCAGAGCCATCCTAGCTGCAGTGAACCCCTGGAGGGGGGATTTGTGGTCAGGAAGGACTCTTCAAAACTTTAAAACTAGTATTCAGAAACCCTGCTTTTCCTTAACTTAGTTCAGTTTGCGATTTCTGCTCTGACAAATTGTATCCTTCCCCTTGAAGGGAGGTGGTGAGATTCTGGGTCACTTTCAGAGCAGTTGGTGATGAGAGTCCCCACCCTTGCTCATGATATGCTGACAGCCACAGGCTGACTCGGGCCCCCGGCTGACGCTTGATATGTTCATTTCTTTCTCTTTGTTCAAAAGGGGCAGGGCCTGCTGGAGGACCCTGTGTCCCTGCACATGGCCTTAGGCTTGACTTAATGCTCTGTGGCTGCCATCTTGAGATTGGGGGTTTTCGAAGCAGTGGGCTCGGTGTCTTTTAGCCCTGGGCCCTACAAATCAATTTCTGGTTCTGAAGAGGGGCCGCATCAGTGGGAAGTGTGCTCTTAGAAGATTACTGAGGGCAGTGAGGGGAAGAACAGCTGGTGTCCAAGAGAACCAGTGGTCCAGAAAGGTCGGAGTGGAGGGGAGAGTGGAGCGGGCAGGACCGGAAAGACTCAGGGGTTTTCTTACTAAACAGGAGGAGCAGGGCGAGAGGACGGGCATTTCATTTGGGATTCAAGAAGGCAAGAACGCTGGCACATGACCTGTCAATCTGCCAGATAGGACCGTGCTAGCCCTCAGTGTGCGTGGAACACGGTGCATGGCCTGTTAGCAATGCTCCAATAAATAAGTTGCTAAACAGCCACACCTTCACATCGGGACCAAATGAGTTTCTGGTCAAGGGCACGGGTTAAGCAAAAACCCGTGGGTCATGTGGTGTTGGAGACAGTTTCTTCTAAGTGACGGAGCCTGCCTGCACCTGAGAGCAGTAGGTTGGGATCTGGTGGCTCTGACCTCCGGGTTAGCTCTGTGCTTGTGGAAGAGCTTTCTTCTCTCGGTTTCTGGCCCCCAACTCTGCAGTCTTTGGGACCCTGTCAAGTCCCATTTTCCTCCATCTTCCCCACCATGGGCTCTGCGGCTTGCCCACTGTTGGAATCTTTAAAATGTCCCCTGAACAGGGTGAGAGCACTGCTGGTGCAGCCCAGCGCTTCTTGCTTTTTTCTTATTTTTGATTACCTGTGATGCTCCGCACCCTGCTAGCATTCCTGCCCTGTCCCCACAACTGAACAAATGTGTAGGTGGTCTGTAAATGATCAGCCTGCCTTCCTGGGGTGCTGCTCCCTGTGGGGCTGACCCTCATCCTTGGTGCCTCCCTCTATGTGACTTGCTGGAGAAAATCCTCCAAGCTGAGGCACCTTCGGGAAGGTGGTGATGCTGGGAGCCCTGGACAGGGACTCTTACAGTGGCAACTCTGGCCTGGGCAACGTGGCAGGGTGGCCAGTGAAAATTTTCCTTTGGAGAAGGTGTGCCGAGGGGTGAGCTCAGCATGCTCCATGGGTCCTGGCAGATCCCCACTGATGGTCCAGGTCCAGGTAGGGTCTCTCTCCTCTTATTCCCTTCAAGCTGGGTTCCTCATTCTCTTGCCACTGTGGGCGACCGTTGAGGTATGTCAGTGGTGCTTTCCTTGAGTGACCTAACAAACAGCATTGTTTGTTTAGGTGCTTGTGATTCACATAGACGGCATTATTTTTACCAGTTCTTATTCTCTCTTCTTTCTCAGCATTGTGTTTTTAAGCTTTGCCCCTCCCCTCTGCACACTGAAAACTAATTGAGATTGCCCAAAGAGCTTTTGTTTATGTGGGTTAAAACTATTGATATTTGCTGCATTAGACATTAAAACGGAAACACTTAAAAATACTTCCCCATTCATTTGAATATAGCAACGATGGTAACATTGCAAGCGAAGGTAAATAACAATTTAGCATTATTATGAAAATAGTTTTTACCTTGCAGATTCCCTGTCCCAGTTAGGTGGCTTTTTGTTCCACAATATGAAAGGGCACCATGAAGGACTAAACTTAGAAAGTAAATTTAATTTGTGTTGCTTTATAATACCTGTGTCAAGAAGCTATGAAATGCATTCGATTGTAGCAAAATCTGCTCAGGTTTGGTGGAATTGCCTCTTTGGTTATTGATACTGTTGCCTATAATATGAAAGGTAATTCTGGATGGCAGAGATTCTGTTTCTTACCAGATACTTTTTGGTGCTTTATGTGGAATTATAATGTCCTAGAACAGATTACTTAACAACTAGAAGAAAAAAATCTTCACATAGGAGCAAACTATATGTATAGTTCTCTGCTAAGTTTACTTATTTTGCGGTCCATGTATCCATAAGGCCTTTATTTTTAAGACTATTATTTTCTGTTTGGAAGAGTCAGTGGTTTTTAGTGTATTGTTGGGCTGTGAAAACATTACCACTATCTAATTTTAATTCCAGAATATTTTCCAAAATGAAAACTTCATGCTCCCTTCCCTCCTTGACCTGTGGCATCCCCGAATCTACTTTGTCTTTTATGGGTTTGCCTATTCTGGACATTTCATATAAGTGGAATTGTGCACCATGTGGCCTTTTATGCCACATATTTTATGCAGTATGTGGTTCCTCTTAGCATAATGTTTTCGAGGTTCGTCCATGTCAGTGCATGCACCAGCACTTTGTTCCATTTATGGATGAATAATATTCCATTGTATGGATATACCATGTTGTATTTCTCCATCAGTTGACGCACATTTGGGTTGTTTCCGCTTTTTCTGCCTCCTTTTAAGAATGCTATGAACATTTGTGTGCAAGTTATTATGTGGACACGTATCTTCGATCCCCTTGAGTCTGTTTCTTTTGACATGTTTTGTTATCAGCCAAATGGTTAACCGAGGCCCGTTTCCCAGGCAGCCATGACAGCTCTTCAGATGCTGCCTTCTCAAATCAGAAAGAAATGAAGGGGAAACCACAGGGTGTCTTTTTACACTGGCAATGATCTTTGGGATTTCCCAGTGGGGTCTTGGAAAATCACAAAGATTTGTTCTTTCAGTTTAGAAGCCATCAGGTTTGTTCAGTATATTCCAGTGGTAAGATCTGCATGAGAAGAGTTGTCAAAAGAAACGCTCAGCCTGCCCAAGGTTACATTTACACAGACAAAACGTGATCCATAAATATTAAAACGTGTTTTAGAAATTGTATATTTTTCGGGAAATCCTTGGAGATTGGTGGAGGCCCTGACGGCCTATAACATTGTTACTCTCAGGGGACACACAGAGAGGGGATTTGCTGTGCTCCACTCTGATAAGGCTCTGCTGAGCTACAGCTGCAGCCTGTGTGTGTCTTCAGTGATAAATGACTGGAGTCTCATGGTAAACGGGTGCCAGGAGCACCTCAAACTGACCCATGTGAACAGACTTGTGGGTACAGGCTCCCTGAGATGGTGCCACTTCAGCGGATGGAGTCGGGGCCCTTTTTAACCCAGAAGAGGACAGCTTCCTGGCACAGACTGCTCACCCAAGATCCCATGGAACAAGAAGTGACTCTCCGGGCTGCAGGAAGGGGTGTGGGAATGCCGTGAGGTTATTGGTTTAAACTTTCGTTAATGTTGTTCAATGTTCTATTTTTAGGCTCTTGTCTTCAGCTCCTTGTAACCCACAATGATTTAGTGGACTCTGCTTTGGTAAATGGAAATAAAACATGTAAAAATGACATTTTGACTGGTGTGCGGGGGTATCCTGGTTGCCTCTTACTCTCCTCTTTCCTTTGGGCCTGAGGTGGTAACAGTGACCCCACTGTAACACTGTCCCTCGCGGTTCACCCACGTGTTTGTCAAAGACCTTTGTGAACAGATCCTCCTTGAATGAGTTGCCATCTGTTTTCTACCGGGACCTGGACTGATTAGTAATTGGCACTAGAGATGGCCTTAGGAAACAGAGCCTGGATATTCTGGGATGGGGTTGATCCATTATTCAGGCGGGGCTGAGACAGCCTTCTCATCAGAGGGAAAATGGAACATGGATTCTCCATAGCAGGCGGTGACATCCCAAGTCCTTAGAGAATTATCTGTGGTAGCGACAGGGATGATAGGCAGGTAGAGGGTAAAGCCCTGAGATTTCAAATGGTTGTGGCACTTGGTTTCTATGGCAATAAGAGGGGATTTAAAGATTTTGGAGTTGCCTGGATTCTTCTTTTAGCCTATAGAAAGCACACAGGGAAAAGAATCACAAAACCACATACAATTGAGAGTGCGTGAAGCAGACCTCTGGGGTGCTCCTGGAGAGTCATCTCCAGTGGGTGAAGGACAAATGTGGTGGAGGACCAACCCCAGGTGACATATAACATGTGCTATATGCCTGCAGAGGTGAGTGTCTAACACGAGGACCTGAGACGGAGTGGCAGTGTCCCGACAGATGTGGGTAAGACAGAGGTTTGAAGCCTCCGTTTGTCCCAAATCTCCCTACTTTACTCCCAGAGGAAGCCCTTTCCCTGTCCAGTTTCCTGGCCACTGTCCCCTGTGTAATAACCTGCCCTCCTCTTGTAACAGCCTTGAAGTGGCTGCACGTGAGTCATCAGATCATGGGCTGATGACCCCTGGGCATGGCACCACCTTCCTTGTCCTCACTCCTCATTCACACCTTGACAGTTCCCCCGTCAACAAGCCCACCTCGAATTATCCCAGGACCATTGTGCCACCCGTTTCCTGTTGGCATCCCAATGGAGACAGCATGTTCAAAATCTGAATTCCCCCGCCCAGCCTCTAGGAAGAATCATCCCACCTTGGCCTTAGGTTCCAGAGGATGCAACTAACTCCAGCTTACTGTCAAGGTTCTGTGGACTGTCTTTCTCATCAGCACTGGACACTTCTATATTTCTGCCGTCCTCTGTGTTAGAAGCTGGGGCAGTTGATGGGGTTGCCTGGAGAAAGCTTTAATCTATTTTCTGTTGCTATAATCGCATACCACAGACTGGGGACTTTTATAAAGAACAGAGGTTTATTTAACTTATGGTTCTGAAGGCAGGAAGGCCCATGCACAAGATGCTGATATCTGGCAAGGGCTTCCTTTCTGAATCATAAGATGAGCATCAGATGGTCTCTAATAATGCCACTAATGCAATCATGGAGGCCCTGCCCTCATGGGCTCATCTAACCCTAATTACCTCCCAAAGAATCTACTTCCAAATACCATTGACATATGACTTTGTGGGTTATGTTTCCAACACATGTATCCCAAACTACAGCCAAGGGTAACCTCTTAAATGTCAAAGAACCTTTGAGCCCTGTGGTCTGGGCCATTCCTGTGGTGGGCCAAGACATTGGGGCTCCACTCCAGAATATAGGATTATAAGGATTTGTGCCTGGATTTCAATAATCTTTCAACTAAAAGGAAATTACCAGAATGTGCCTGGAGGTATCGCCTTTCGCTATAATCTCTCTCTGGATGGGGCTACTGTAGCTGTTTAGTTTTGGATTAGTTTCCAAGCTTCTATTTGGAGTGGGAAATGTTGGGATCCTGGCCTCTCAAGGGATAGGAGCTGCATGAGGATTTTCCTCCAAAGGGTTGTGCTTGGAGTTCAAGGAACAGATAAGCCTGTGCCCTAGCTCCTAGGGCATCTGTGAGAGATGAACCGTGCCACCCATGCTCCCCGCCACCTCAGCCCTTGTCCTCTTAGTGTGGAGAGAGTCTGTCGACCACTAACTACAGACCACTAGTTTGTAGATGGCACCATGGTGACCTGTGGGCTTGTTCCTCTGTCCCTTTGTCCTGATGTGTGTGTGCTCAGAATTAGCCAAATGGCTCATTTAAAAAGACCATTTCTTCCTAAGAGCATGAGTTTCCCCTCCTCTGAAGGGAAAAGCATGCTGGGAGGTGGGCACCAGCAAAACTGCATCCCAGAGCCAAATCAGGTAGACCCAGCTCTGCCCCCACCGTGGAAATGCCCTAACCATCTTCCCCCATCCAGGGAGCACTGGCTGAAGACCGGGGAGCCTGGATTCTGTCCGATGGCTCCCCTACCCACTCCTATGTTCTAGTCTCTTTCTTTCCCGTCTCCACTATTGTCTGGCTGGCTCCCTCTTCCCAGGGTCTATCTTTCTGTCCTTCCTAGCATCCAGATCCAAGCATTGGCTGGCCATATCACCACCTCTAGTCTCCAAGCTACGTTCCCACCAAATTTCAACCCCACACCTCTTGCCTGACAGTCCAGGCCTCAACCACAACCCATCTAGGGTCATATATCTACTCTTGCCCAGGCAGTGGTGGGCAGGCAGGTAGGTAGAGGTCAGATGGCCCACTGGGCTGTACCATCTAGCCCATGAATAGACTGGGATCTTTCAGAAACTAGTGTGGCTGGGAAAGAAATAGGGATTAAATCTGATTCAGGGGCCAGGATCCTTGGTGGTTTCTTGCTCCAGGTGGGTTCCAGGATATCAAATCAAGTGACATTCCCACAGGTGACTTTGGAGTCACACCAGCCCATATTTGAAGCTTAGTTTGTCACTTAGGAGTCACAGTACCTTGAACAAGTTAATGGTTTTTTTGAGCCTTAGTTTCTTTATCTGAAAATAGTATCCATCTGTTGGGGAACACAAATCAAGTCAAGATGGCGCCTGGCAGTTTGCCAGGAGGAGTGGTTTGTGAGGCAATGCCACCAAGCCATTAAGATGGTGGGGATTCCTTATTGGCTGACTGCTGTATCTAGATGATGCTAATTGAGTCAAGCTGTGTGTAATCAGGTATATATACCTCTGCTGTTCTGCAATAAAGCGGCTCCCGCTACCTTGGGTGCCGGCTGAGTTTTCCGATGCAATAAAGCAGTTCCCACTTCAACCTTCACAAGTTGCTTGTCACCTCCCGGTTATTTTGCCCAGCCGGACTGCAGCATCTATCTCATGGAATTGTTGTGAAATTAAATGAGGTAATTCTGTCAAAATGCATCTTGTGGACAATAATCGAGTATTTAAAAATATCAGTTATTTTTCTATTCTAGGATCTTAAACAGCTCTGTGAACTCAAAGCTCAACCTGGCCCTAAACCAAGGAGCATCTGATCAGGTGTTCCTGGATTATCTGCACATGGAACTCCTGGCTAGCAGTTCCCTGTGTTTGCGGTTGATCCATTAGTCCCAGCACCGCCACATCCCCTTGGTATCCCCTCTACAAAGGGAGGCGATGGTTTAGAGTGTGGATTCCATCTGCTGGATTCACAGTCTGGCCTGTCCCCAGCTGGCCATAGCTCAACCTTGGTACAAAATCTTCAGTTTCCTTGACGGTGGTGAGAACAGTCAAGGTAAGTCTTAAATGGTTGAGACCAGCAGCCAGGCCAGCTGTTGGGCATAAAACCCGGATTTAATCAGCTTTCAGCGAACTGGTGGCTGCAGTCAGTCACCTGAGATGTCAAAACAAACCGGGAACAAAGAAGTGACTCAGGTTGGCGCGGGGACAGGCAGGGCGTGGCGAGTGGCGGCCGTGAACCTTGGGTCCTGCCTGCCGGTTCGTGGTCCCGGGCCTTGCCCACCCGCCCTTGGCAGAGGGGAGCGGCTGAGAGGCGGTGACCCCTCGGCAGGACACGAGCTCCCACGGCAGAATGTTTCCACTTTATTGTCTGTAAACTCCTCTTTGGTAAACAGAAGACAGGAAACCCAAGAGAAAGGGAGCACGCACGTACAGGAGGCGAGGAGAGGGCAGAGGCCCTCCGCAACGGGAGCTCCGGGAGACGGCGACACCGGTACCGAGGCGGTGGGCGGAGCCGGGGCCGGGGTGGGCGTGGCCCAGGGAAAGGCGGGGCAGCGAGAGGGGGAGGGGCGCGCGCTCCGTTGGACCGAGAAGCCTAAATCGTACAGCGAAGGAGCTCATGCATCACAGCAGAGAGGAGGAGGGAAGGTCCACCCCGGCCCCCACCCACCTTCCACGCAGTTGGCGATCCGCGCGGGCAGCGCTCTGTGCCTGGCCGGGCTCAAAGAGGCCCCTGGCCGCCCGGCCTCCATCTCTCCTGTCCTGCTGTGCAGGCTGGTGGTGTGCAGGTGGCAGGGGTGGGGGAGGGGCGCTCACAATCTCTGGGTCTGGGGAGAAGGATCAGGACAGCAGGGGCAGGGTTTGCCGGAGGTGGGGAATCAGCCTCCGCCTCCCCTTTACACGGGGGGCTCGCTGCAGAGCACGATCTCCAGGTCCTTTCGGTAGAGCTTCCCCGCCTCGGCCAAGGACATGACGCTCTTTCTGTAGTTAGTGAGTTGCTGGATGTTCATTTCCTAGGAGATGGAAGGAGAGGGTGAGAGCAGGCTCGGCGAAGGGCCCCACCCCAAGGAGCCCTCCTGCGCATTCATAAACACACTGGCCTGAGACTTTCTTCCCATCCCAGGGCAAGTGGCTCACAGGGACACAAAGCCCAGGCGCTGGATCCAGACAGACCTGGGTTAAAACCCTCTCACTCGCTGGCTGCATTCCTTTGAGGATAGTCAGATTTTTCTGAGGCTCAGCTGCTTCACCTGTGAAGTGGGTGCCTCATTGAGGTGTTAGATGATTAGAGGGAGGAGTGAACGTGGACACTTGGTACAGAACCTGTGCCAAGCACTCCAAAAAAGGGTATCCATCACGATGCTGATCGCTGTCTGTGCACAACTTGTAAACATCCTCCATCTCTCCATCCCCACAGGTGATGGAGGGATGGCCAGGAAAGCTCCCTGGTCTATTTCCAGGTGGACTGGACCATAATTCCCTAAGCCTCCCCCATGTCTCCACCACAAACAAAAGTCACCATCCCACTTCTTGTTCACTGGCTTCTTGTGGGCCTCTAAGCTGATCCATGAACATGCACTCATGGAAAACGGAGACCAAAATTAAACGATACTACACCTGACATG